ATGGGGCAGCAGGTCCTTCTCTATGCCTCCTGGGCTAGGGAAGCCCTCCCCGGCTGCAGCCGCCATGATTATTTCCGGCTTTACTGCCATCTTGTCCTGGCCAGGAATGTCAGACAACACATGAAGACTCTTGATACTTACTTTATCCTGCTCCCCTTTGCTGTGCAGAATAGGCTCCTGGGACTGGGGCCCATAGTGCGAGGGGCAGAAGAGGAAAGATCGTAAAAGGCAGGCCCGGGGCAAGGTCAGGTCATAAACATCCTAGGGTCAGGAGCCATCCTCCTACCCCATTAGATTGGAGAAGGAAACTGAGGAAGCCCCAGGGAATTCCAGGACATGGAACACGTGTGTCTGTTCTGGTGTGTTGTGACCGTGCATAGGGTGGGGTGGGGGGACTGATTCCTAAAAGAAGGCACATCTTTCCCAACCCTCCCCCATTTTCCTAGCCAGGATTGGGGTTGGCAATCAAGGCCTCCTTCCTTCTAGCCTGTGGACCCTAGGGCAGAGGCCTGTCATTGCTGAAAGGGTTGGGCCTAGAACACTTCATCAAATCATTCATCATTTCCCCCTCACCCCCATTTTCTAGCATAGGTGATTAGAGAATATAGCAGAGTGATGAGGCCCTCAGAGGCATGCAGGCCCAAATTGGGTCCTTCTGTGGCTCGACTCATAGGAAATTTCTCTTTGGCTATGAAAACAGGCACCTCGACCCCATCCCCAACAGGGATGGCATGGGTGCTGCCGTAGCCCTCGGCAGGTGGCCGAAGGAGGTAGATGAGCTTCTCCCAGTAGGAGAAGATGTCTTCCATGGCATTGGAGGGTGGGCAGAGCTGCAAGTAGAACGATCTCCCGCTGGCCAGTTTCAGCCGAAGCTGCTGCTTCTTACAGTCGTGGACAGAAATCTTCACAAACTCCAGGGGGAGTAGCCTGTAGCCCATCCCACCGTGGGAAGTAAGTACGTTCCACAGTCCTCCCTCCTTCTCCTCCAACCCCCACCCTGCCCATCAATTCCCCCTCAGCTGCACTGACTGCCTGAGACTTTGAGTGGCCTGGTCATCCGTTTGTCACACTGGGGGTGCAGGCTCTGCTTGGAGCTGACACCTCATTTTCCAGGTGTGAGAGAGAGAGATGGAAATGGGGGTTCTCTTCAGAAGTCCATGGATTTTGAACCCTTGTTCCTTGACCTAAGTCCAGTTACTCTCTAAGTGACTTTGTTAAGATCATGTTGGCTGGCATGTTTGGTAGGATGGTTATCTGAGCTGAATGGTTAGAGCTCATCCAAGTTGAAAACCAGGAGGTTGAAATGCTGTTCCGGTAAGGGACAGGCCAAGTGCGATGGCTGGCTCACCTGGTGAACTCCAGGGTCTTTGAAGAGTGGGGGTGCTGCATCTTGCTCCTGGAGCTGGCCTCTGGACGGGGCTGATCCTCAACATATGCCACGCGCCGGGCTAACAGCATGACATTGGGCAAAGGCATAATCGGGCTGGTGGATGCAATGCCCACGGTCACCATGCATGCCTGGTTATGTATGCCAATCATTTCCCCTCTCTTGCTGATCTGCAGTGGGGAAGGGGGAGGAAAATGAAGGGAAACGTGGCAGGGAGAGACCAGGTGCCCACTTCCATAGAGCTCTCCCCCTCCTCTGGATGGACTGGAGGCAGACAGACACTATCTAAGACTCATGGATGATCAATCCCTCGCCAGGTTCAAACCTACCTCACGGCTGGTTGGTATCTGAGGCCTCTCTTCCCTCCCCACCCCATTCTCAAGCGGAATCCTCTCAGACCCCAACACGTCCTGCTCCACCAAGTCTTGTTATTCAACCCCCGGGCAGATCTGGCATTCGTGGACCTGTCTCACTCAGACCCCAAATGCTGCTGCTGCGGCCGCCCGCCCCCCCATCAAAGTGGGAGCCAGTGAGCGGCCTAGCGCGGCACGGGGAGCCTGGGAAGGAGACAAGCTTGGGGCCAGAGCTAGGGCGGCGGGACGGGGGGAGAGGGGGGGATGCTTTCCATGGAAAGCACCTGGATGAAGTTGCTCTCGAACATGGGGGCGTACTTGAAGGCATAGTATTCCCCTTTGTACAAGTGCTTCTGCAGCTCCCGCATGGATGTGTTGAACATGCCCACAGCGCACCCACTGGCTGCTGTGT